ATCTTTAAGAAGCAGCCTGCTCAGTCTAGAATTAACAGGAGGTTCATGCCCTACTTACAGATTTCACTGTATATTATATTCTTGAGGAAAAAAGCTATCTCCTGGGTCTACCCTAAATTCTGTCCCTAAATTGGCAAGTTTTGCACAGAGTGACTTTAAGACATTTTGCAGAAGAACAGTTGTAGGCAATCAGCATTCCCCTGCCTAGAAGATCCAGCTGCTCTAAAGATGTGCAGCTGATGATCTGTAGGAATTATTCCTTCTTCCAGTAGTGAAGATTTAGACAAACCTGATTCACTGGTTTGATTTGGAATTAATTAAAGCATAATCATATACATCTTGTGAAAATGGAGTTTGGCACAGGCGAAAAAAGTCTTACTCTGATAAAATTCTTTGTAGAGAATTTTTATGGGAAGTCTGATCCTGACATGCATCCATTAGTGATAATAAATATTGCTTTATTCCATCCAATCCATAATGTCAAGAGCTTTATTCATTTTTCTGTGAAAATGTAACAAAGATAGCGGTCATTCAACGTACTTCCAAATCTCGATGTTTTTATATGTACGATTACAATTTGCAATAGGTACTGGTTTTGAAGGGTGTTTAGCAAATGTGTTTAGCTTAAGTCCTATTTAGCTACCTGGGACCTTGTAGGCAAAGTGAATGACTTGAAGCCTGTGGAGATTATTTGTGGTTTTAGTTGTATTAATATACACTTAGAACAAATTTCTTGACTTCAGTGGAACCATTCTGGTGCACCAATGATCAAAAGTTGGTTCATTAGTGTGCATCCTGTGTAGCCAGAATCAATGGCAGCAACGTTGACAATCCTTTGTAAGAATGGCTTTTGATTTAGCAGTACATGATATCTTCCAATATGTATAGCATCTTTATTAAATTGATTATTTGTATTTTCTCATTCTTCTCTGAAGCCTAATGTGTATATCTGTGGTGTTATGTTAACAGAGACAGAATGTCATGATAGACAAAATAGGAAAGAGATATCAGAAAAGGAAGGAAAGTTAATTACAGATGACATTGTGGAATTTTTAGATAGCCAAGCAGAGATCATTTTTTATTTAGTAGACTTTCTTTCAGACAAAGACAAGATTGTTAAGCTCAATCATCCTACCACGGTTCTTTATTAAAATAAATTTCTTGCCTTGTTTGCTACTCATTGAGTTAGTGAATCTCAAGAAGCAAGATTCACCAGTGAGTTTTAAAAAATCAGTGATGGACCCTTGAGAAGTAAGTTTGCATATATGAAGTACATTAAAATTACAACAGCAACAGTAGGAATCATTTATGTCTATACACATGGAATTTATTTTATTTTAGTATCTGGTAGTCTTTGTGGCTTAGTCAGACAACATATTTGCTACTTATAGTGGGAGATTTAGGTACAAATTGATTTAAGTAACAAGTAAAAACAAATGACATTTTAGCTTAGATGATTGATCACATTAAAGCTACACTTTGAGGTGATACTTAAAATACCTGTTCAGTCTTCTTCATAGCTAGTGGGTGGTTTAACGCCTAGTGATGAGCACTAGGAGGGGCCATTATTATCGCACACCCTGACCTCATCCTTAGCTTTAACTCTATAATTTTATCACTAACCCTGGATAGCTCTTTGAGCTCTGATATATCTTTGGGGAAAATGTATATCCTTGATGTGCAGACCTCAGGAAAGGGATGTGGCTTTAGGTGCCTTGTTCCAGTGAGAAATGTGCTTCATTATGTGAATTTGCCTTATTTCCCATCTGGATTTTGCATACTTTGGCTTTCAATTGCTCTACTCCATTAAGCAGCTTTGGCAAGACTGAAGAACCTTATTTCTCAGGTTATTCCTCTATGTATGTATTTGTAAATCAGAATCAGTTTTCCTCTTAACCTTCTCTTCAATAAATTAATTATGCTGACCACTTCTCTATTACTATGTAATGGTGGCACGTGCTTGTATTAAATAATCTTATTTATCTTCTCACTCAGAGCACTGTGCACATGAGCTCATGCTAAATTCATACTCTTGAAATGCATGCTACAAACTGGCATAGTATATGGGGATCCGTCATTTATAGAGAATTTTGTAATCTACTCCCTAGTTTGTTAAGCAATAAATAGATTTGTAGAAAGCTAATGCTTAATCTCAAACAACAATCAGTATTCACGTATCCTGGAAAAAATAATGCTTTAGTGAACTGTATTCATTTTACTCCTAACTATTCAGTAGCACTGGCTTTTCAAGAGCTCCCTACCACCCTAAAATAAATTGCAAAGAAATGAGAAAAATATGCTTTGCCTTGCAGACCACACTATTAAGTATTGATGAAGAACATAGTTGTTGTTCTTATGTGAAAGAATGTAACATTTTAGCAGTTAAAAAGTAACCCAAATCATCAGAAAAGTCCATAAAACTTTTTCAGAATAGCATTCGCTCATGTCTAGTGTTGGTCACTGAGTGGACTTTTTGTCCAAATGCATCTTTGAAAACATTTCTGCATCTTGTAGTTCATAAATATTTCAGCCAAATTTAATTTGTTTATTGTACTATCCTTTAAACCATTTTTTCTGATTCCTTGGAAAGTAAGAGAGGGATAAAAGTTGTCCTGTTCTAATGAGTAGTATTATGTTGATAGCATCTTTTCCCCCAGTATCGCAGGCTCTTTCTGTACCTTCTGCCCTTTGCTCGGGGGGTATCAGGACCTACAGTTTTTCTCCGTTTCATCTCTGTAGTCCTGAGAGTTGATGGTAATCTTCAAAGGGGCTTCTGTAGCCTAGTGGCAGTCAAAAGACAAAGCCTAATGATTTCCAATTTGTTTTGGGTTGCAGTCACTCCAGCTTTTTCACTCACCCAAGTTCACATAAAACACCAGACAAACTCAATACATTTTATTATAGCAAAGCAAAAAGTTCTGTTCTGGAATGTAAAATTGAGAACAAGGTTATGAAAGACAGAAACTGCAAAACTGCAATTGCACTTGCAAAACTGCACCTCCAGATCGTTCTTATAGAATCATAGAATGGTTTGAGTTTGAAGGGACCTCAAAGTCCATGTAGTTGCAACCCCCTGCCATGGGCAGGGACACCCTCCACTAGCCCAGGTTGCCCAAAGCCCCATCCAACCTGGCCTTGAACACTGCCAGGGAGCCAGGGGCAG